TTGCCTACTTCCTCGGACACAATCAATATTTTATTCCACTCCAAAATTACAAGTGAAATAATATTAAAGAGAGAAAATACAAATGCCTTAAGAAGATAAAAAAGGCAAATGAGAGGTGTACTTAAATCCTAAACATTAGGCCTCCTTTTATAGGGTGAAATTCCCATTCAAAATTGTCATCCACCGATGTGGGACTTTTGACAATTTCAACACTGCTCTCCATTAATGGAGGATGGGTTGGTAGCTACTACCTCAACTCCACCGAGGATGCTTTGCTACTTATCTCTGGAACAACTTCTTAGGAGGAAAGTCGAGCTCTCGCCCTCTTGGATGGAATTGACTTTGATATCGAAGGGGGAATAAACGCGCATTGGGATGACCTTGCTCGTTTTCTCTCTTCATATAGGAAACCTGGTAATAATAAGGTTTATATGGGTGCAGCACCACAATGTCCTTTTCCTGATGCCTGGATAGGAGGTGCACTCAAAACAGGCCAATATAGTTCAAGGGATCTTAGTAACCGCAAAAGTGCAATATGGAAGCCAAGGACTTCAATTCCTGCTAAGAGAATTTTCTTAGGATTGCCTGCTGCAGGAAGTGGCTTCTTTCCTTCAGATCATTTAACTAAACAAGTTCTTCCAGTAATTTAGGACTGATAAATATGGCAGTGTAATGCTTTGGTCTATGTACTGTGATGATCAAGCTGGATATAGTGCTTCCATTAAAGGCAGCATCTGATATCTTAAATCAAACGATTGATGTGATTATGACTTATGAGTGTTGAAATCTCATAATGTATTTATGTATATATGAGTCTTGAATGATTCATAGTGTGTTTATGTAGAAATTGCGACCAGCATATGAACTATATCGTTCTATAATACTCCTACTTATTTGAAGAAGGATTATATTAGGGTCAGAATGGAAATGAAGGCACCCTAGCAGAAACTTGTGCAACTGGGAATTACAGTGTTATATAGTTTCCTTTTACTATTCTTTTCTTTTTTCCCCCTCAATTTTTCATGATCTGCTTCTCTCACCAGGCTTTCCTCGAAATAAAATAGAGCCCAAAATATTGAATATAATGGAATAGATGAATAAACAAAGCGTCTCTGTTTATATATTACATAACTGTGTTTTTATGGAGAGAACACCACATCAATAAAGTGGCCAACATTTAAAGAAATACGAGGTCAATAACCATTAGCACTATAATCTTTAAGTTAGCATCAGTATTCTACAGAACTAACACAATAAGACAACTTCAATAGATTAACTAAACACAAATCAAAAATCTGTTTATCCTAGATTATACTTTTCAATTCCCTAATATTATTTTCTTTCTATTTTCTTATTAAAAGAAAGGAGGTTGCAATGGCGCCAATTCTGCTCACTCCTATTGACTATATCCCCAAGAATTTTTGGGGATACATCAAACAATTATATCATAAAAGTAATGCTCACCTGAATCAGTTATGAGATTGATCGTGCTGAATAAAATCTAAGGCTTTGTCCCTGGAGATAACGGTGACACAGCTAACTCTATTTTTGTGTATCACACCGTATATCTTATCAGCTACTTTCACAAGCTCCGGCCGGAATGTTGTCGTAATAAATTGCGTGCTACCCCTGTCTGCCAAATCACGAACCATATCTAGAAAATTATAGTCAAAGGAAACAAGGAGGCTATGTTTCTCGGACTTTTCAAAAATGTCGCACAGGTGCAGTTTTGGAGGATCTGACACGGGTGTGACAGTATATTTGGAAAGTCCGAGCAATATAGCAAGGGCGTAAGCACAAAGACTGCAGAGAGAAGGAATGCAGGAACTAATTTTAACTCTAGGAGGATACTCCCCACAGCTGTTCTGTAATGAGTATCTAGTGCTTCATCAATCTCATCAAGGAGATAAAATGGGGCAGGATCACATCTTTGTATGGCAAATATAAGTGCGAGCGCTACCACAGTTTTCTGACCCCCTGATAACTGTTTCATTGACTGTGTTTCTCCTTGTCCAGTGAAGGACACCTATGGCAAGAACATCGAGTTAGACGAAAATTAGCTCATAAGATGCAGATTTCAAAGTTTGTAAACAGCACAGGATATCCATGACCATGGCTTTTTTTGTGTGTGTGATTGTCAGAACTATTGCTCCAATATAGAATTCAATAATGACGAGAAATACATGCCTTCACTTTCACACCAATATATTTCTCAACCCTTCCGTCCATATCAGCACAAGGTGCATCATCATCAGAATCATTGTCATCATCCTCACCATCCTAGAAACAACAACACAAAAGACTCAAATGATCATTATCATTCCACAGAAGCATTAAGTTGTTGAATATAAGAGTTAAAGAGATAATTACTTTATGTATAATCATTCTGAAGTCTCTATAGCTGAGATAAAGATTAAAAATGATCCAAGAACTGTTTCCTTTTCAATCAGAGGTCTAAGCAACTTCAAAGATTGTCCCTAGACAAAGGTACCAACACAGCATAAAAAGATTGTTGTTGAACATATCAGAGTGTAACTAGTTTTTGAGTTCTTTCATGTTTTAGCTTTCAAACTAAACAAGAAATGAAGAGGAGGTAAAGAAATATTCTATCACCTATTTCAAAACGGTGGAGCTTCAATGATTCTATGAAGAAAATGAGAACACATGCACCAAAGAAATGCCATTAGTCCTATGAAGTCAAATTGAAAATGAGGAATAAACTAGCCACGGGATATGTAACCCAAAAGTGCATATTACAACAACCCAGTATAATCCCACTAGTGGGGTCTGGGGAGGGTAGTGTGTCCGATAGACCCTCTGCTCCCTCCCTCCAAGAACTCTCCACCTTGCTCTTGGGGTGACTCGAACTCACAACCTCTAGGTTGGAAGTGGAGGGTGCTAACCACTTGAGCAACCCACTCTTGTCCAAAAGTGCATATTATCTAGCATAAATACTTATAATTCGCCATCCGCTGTGGAGAGGTACTTGGCCATATACAACCATATTGATTACTCTCAGTAAGACATTTTTATTTCCAAAATTTAATATTTCTTATAAGTCTATATTTGCACTTTGTTTATACATGTGTACATTTGATGTTGATGTACATGACTATTAGAAAAACTCATTTGTGTAAAATTTAGTTTAATTTCCCCATGAGAATTATCATATACACAAAATGGTAATCTGTTTATTGCTAGTTTACTATAATGAGTGCTTTGACACATAATGTGCTATCTGACAATCAAAACAAACCTTTTTCTTTATCATAACTAAGAATCCATGGCCTCCTTGAACAATTCGAGAGAATACTTCACGGAAATGTTTAGCCACGCCTTTGAACGTGCGCTCAATTGATTCATCCTTCCTCATGTCCAAAACTGATATAAGTTCCTTGATTTTCTGCAAATGAAGGAAGCCATGCTCAGAATTACTATCAAACATAAACATACAAGTTCAGATCCTAAAAATACATGATTTATATACCTCATCACCAGCATCCAGTTCAGCTTGCCTTCTTTGGAGTTCTTCTCTTTGCTCGGTGAAATTTACATATTGATCAAGTGCTTTTTTGTTTACATGACTGAATTTTTGCAGCTGCTCGTTACACTTGTGCAGCATCTTATATAATTCCTTTACATTCCTTCTTTTGTACCTAGAATTTACATTAATCACCAAAATAATGGCGTTAATATTACATTTACAAACACCGTCGTAATGTTTAGCAATAAACAGTTCCCACCATTATGTCAGAAGAACAAAAGCCAATTCACATGTCTAAGGTAATATATGCATGTATACATCTCACCTCCCTTTATTTGTTACTATAAGGCATGACCCACACACACACAAAAAAAATAGAAGGGTATGCAGAGCAACAAGGAAAAAATAACAGGACTAAAATTTCTTCCTTTGATGAAGCATAAAAAGGGGAGACTTGGAGCAATAGTAAAGTTGTCTCCGTGTGACCTATATGTCACGGGTTCGAGCCGTGGAAACAGACACTAATGCTTGCATTAGGGTAGGCTGTCTACATCACACCCCTAAAGGTGCGGCCCTTCCCCGGCCCTGCATGAATGCGGGATGCTTTGTGCATCGGGCTGCCCTTTGATGAAGCATAAAAAGGGACTAAAAAGAAAGGCAGTTCTAACAAGCAGATAAAAGGATGATTGCTTACTGCCTTACTCTTGAATAACACAATCCATAAACACACAAGTATGAACAAGATCAAACACATGAAAAGAGATGGAGACACAGGCTCTTCTAAGAGTTTTAAGATAAGACAGCACTCTAGACATTTTCCCGCTTCTCACTTTCAACCACCATGAATTTCACACAATTCCCTAACTTCGTCAATCATGTAGCTGGCAAATGGCACTCAAATGTATCAGAAATATGTACTTGACACTCTGTTGCAAAAATACAAGCTATTTCACATTTATTATGCGAATTAATTGTATCGTTTCAACTATATTCACACACTTGAAAAAGTTCAAACTGGACTTATATGACAGTTTACAATGTTTTGATGAAAAATGATTTGAAAGACACTCCTCAGGCAAGCTAAGGCCAAATAGCTTCAATGCAGTAACACTTTGTGAGATTATACCTTCGAATTAGTTATATGCTTTAGAGGTTCTTCTACACGCACAAAGAAAATATTTAAAGAGGCAAATTGTTCATTAGGTCTTAGTCTAATATCCTATAGATTTTGTAAATTCATTACCTACAGGGCATCCCATCAGGAGATTCACCTCTTCTTCACCTTAAAACTCCGTCTTTTAAACACAGTTTCTGATTATTATAGTCACTAACGGTTGTAAGTATATCTGCCTGTTTTTAGCTTCTAGCACTGAAAAGAAGATCTATCCAAAATAAACAATAAAATAGAAGCAAAATAGAGTTCTCCATATTCAAATGCCAAAAAGGATATACGCAAATTTAGAGAAGAGAAATACGTTTCAAAGGCATCAGAAGATAAAGGACCTAGTTCCCGGATTTTCTTCGAGTACTCTTCTTGCTTGGCAAGATAGGTGTTCCGTTTACTTAGTAGCTGCTCCAATTCTCTTGCTTCATCCTGAAGTGTATTCTGATACTTATTTAGATCCTATAAGAAAATTTTGTATTAGCACAAAGCAAAACAGGCCACGTGAAGTTGAAATATAATGGAGAATATTTGCCTTCGGACTATCCTTTTCCTGTTTGATCTGCTCTAGCCTCTCGTATCGTTCATCTATACTTCCAGAAACCTCTGTGCAGGCCATTTTTGTATTAAAATTTTTGAACATATACGATACCAAAGATTTTAAAATAAAAAAACAGGACTCACTTGTAAGCTCTTCAGTCAAATGGTCAACTAGTGAGACTGCATCCTTAAGTTCCTGATTCTTCCTCTCAACTTCACTCTGTAGCATATCAATGTCGACAGAAGAACTCATTGCCACTAACTCTTGTTTTCGTCTTTCAAGATTTGTTGACAGATTCATCTCAAGCTCCTCTATTCTAGTTTCAGTCTACAAAAGCCGATAAAAGTCAGCAAGTGATTTGTATCGATATGTCATATATTGACTTCAGTAATCCTGACGTCAACAAACCTCTATCCGATTAGCCCCGCACGCAATCTGCTTCTCCTTCAGAGTCGTGGTTTCA